TCTTGTCTCTTGTTTTCATTTATTACCTTTTTTTTTTTTTTTTGAAACATTTACTTGAGAGAGAGTATAGCAGTAATTGATATGACATTAGAAGCAGTACACTTTTAGAAGACCAGAATGACAGGGATTCCAAGCATGACCCTTCTATTACACATTGCTATTTTCAGTGCAGTTGCTTAGCTCACAGGTATCAGTATATATATAGTTACGGTGAGAATCCTACCAATTAACTGCTAGTTTAAAAAACCTGATGGAAATTCTCAGGATCATTGCCCTAGCCATCTTGTGTATACAAATGTATGTTTTTGCCCCTGCCATGTTTCCTAGCTTTTCTCCTTGCCCTGTCTTCGTTGTTTAATCCTTAAGTTCTTGCTTTCTATTTAGTTGTATTATACCTTTCAATTTTTATTTCTTCTTTTGAGTTCTTACACTAGGGAGACAATACAATAGATATGGATATTTTGTAATTTCTTTCTTATTTTGGCAGTACTGGGCTGTCTCCTTTTTAATTTTTAATTTTGGGTCAGGTTCTTGCACAATCACTAAATTGCCCAGGTTAAGCCAAAACTTGTGATGGTGGAATTATAGGTGTGGACCACCATACCTGGCTGATATTTTGTAATTTTAGGAGCCTTTTAACCATATTGAAAGGTTTTGAGCAAAAAGTAGATTACTAAAGTACAAATAGCAGATAACTTGTCACTATTTGGCCAGGGCCAGTTTGAAAACAAGACAAAGTTTATAATGAGAGACATATAGATACAACTGAGGTAGCTCTCAGAGCTATAAAACCTAGGCATATTTCCCAAGTATATACTTGTACATTTACTTAATTGTGATTTTTATTTTTTTTCCTTTTCAAAGTTTTATTCATAATAATTGTGATTTTTTAAGTCTTGTTCCATATAATTTAGAAAAGATAATATCTTGAAAATGGTTAGAAGAAATCTGTAAAAGAATTTTAGTATATTGCCAGGGAGATAGCTCAGCACTTCCCTGGCAAGCGTAAGGGCCTGAGTTCAATCCCTGGTTCCCGGGGTGGCGGGGGGAGGAATTTAGTATAGTTTTTATAGAACACATTTATTTATTTACTAATAGACATTAATTTTCTTTGCATTTATTTAGACTTAATTTATTCCCATGCCATAAGTTTTTGTTTCTTCAGTTGCTTCTGGGATATCTTTTTCTTCTGTGCAACTTCCTCCTCTGGTTTGGGAACAGTTTGTTCCTTTTCAGTAAGGATCATCTGAATATGGCAGGGGAGCTCATGTATGGATTAATCTGGCCATGAGCTCTATAAGTACAGCTGCATATCTCGGGTGCTTTGTTCACCTGGATATGTTCAGTAACCAGAAAATATACGTCTAAACCCTTAAGTTCAGCAATATTCTCTGCATTTTTAAGCATGTGCAGCAAAACTTCAGCGTTCTTTTTGGGCCACTGACCCTGTGTCCAGCCCCACTGTTTGGCCTGGGCACACCTACCAACTCTGTCATTGTAACGCCGGAATGGCACATATTGCTTCTTAATGTGACATCTTTCAGATACTTGGTGGCCTTTCAGATATGCATGCCCTTGATGGCCTGGGCAGTTTCACGCATGTTCTTAAAGTGAACCTGAAGATTTGAGCCTCTTGATTTGCATGATTCTGTGGGGTTTTCTGGGTTGAGAGAGTAGCGAACCATTTTCACCGGTCACCTCAGGCTGCTCACAGGAAGAGAGCTCATTTAAATTTAATAAGCTATATTCTGAAGCTATTTCTGCAAATGTTCCCCCCAGATACTTTAGGGATCCTTTAGGGTTGTTATTTTATTATTTATTTATTTACTTATTTAGCCAGGAATTCATTATGTAGTACAGGCTGGTCTTGAACTGACTATGTTATTCAGCCTCCTGAGTATCTGGATTACAATTGTGTGCCACCACACCCAGCTATTTTAGTTTTTCTTAAGGATGGACCACCTGTTTAGAGGTGAACACTCCCCAACATGGTCTTAGTTTTAGTGCAGTGGACACTGAGCTCCTCTGCTTGTAGTTAATAACTGGAGTTGCTGCTTCTTGAGACACAGGGTGACTGTGTCATTGCATAAAGAAAACTTCTATTTACTATAGCAGGGAGACCAATACAGTAACTACTTATTTGTTTAGAAATTAAACAGAAGGGTATATAGTACTCACTCTTGTTTGAAATTATGAGAGACTAAGCTTGAGACAGTTCTTGTCTATTCTGATTTAAAATAACATAGTCTTCCTAGAAACACGAACAGCTGAAGATCTGGGGATCTTGGTAAGAGGAATCTGTAGTATCTGTATCCTGCTAGTTCTGTGTGTGTTTTCTGGAAATGGTAAAACAAATCTACAGTAACTGTATCCTGCTAGTTCTGTGCATATTTTTTTTGAAATACGGTCTTTTAGTGTGTTGAAAGTTGGAACCATCGGCCGGGGAGATGGCTCAGTAGGATAAGTGCTTGACTGGCAAACGCAAGGATCTGAGTTCAATCCCCGGTTCTGCCAAAAAAAAAAAGAAAGTTGGAACCATAAACAAGTTTTTAATAAATAATACTTTTTTTTTTTTTTTTTGCGGAACCGAGGATTGAACTCAGGCCCTTACTCTTGCCAGGGAAGCCCTTATTCCACTGAGCCATCTCCTCGGCCCCATTCCTTTGTTCTTAAAATTCAAAAGGATTAGATTTTTTTTTTTTTTTTTTTTGGTACAGGTAATTGAACTCAGGGCCTCGAGCTTGCTAGGCAGGCACTGTGCTACTGAGCTACATCGCTGGCCCCAGAGTTTCTTTAGTATATGCAAACCAATGTGATTATACATTGAAGAATATATTATGTATATCACTTTATACTTTTTCAGTACATGGTTATAAAGAATTTGTCGGGCTGGGGAGATGGCTCAGTAGAATAAGTGCTTCCCTGGTAAGCGCAAGGGCCTGAGTTCGATCCCCAGTTCTGCAAAAAAAAATTTGTCCTCTTTTTTTCTCTTAAAATTTTATAGATTTATCTTACCTTGATATGGGATGTAGCCCATTTTATTTTCAGATGATAATTGGAAACTCAGGAAGATGTTAGAAGACTACATTTTCATAGTTGGGCCAACTAATTCTCACTTTGAGGAAAGAGCTGTATTTGGTGGCTCTCTTGAACTCTGCATAGAAACCTTATAGACCCACAAAGAATCTATCTCCTTCCTAACACAGTGACCTTTTCATCTTGAGGTAGTCCACAGGGCCTCTGAGGATATACTGGGAAATAAATAGCATGAAGCACAGGTGCTTCTACTTTTTTAACATTAAAGCATTAACAAAAATAAAGCAAATGGGGATGGGGCGATAGCTCAGTAGCGTAAGTGCCTGCCTGGCAAGTGTTCAGTCCTGAGTTTGATCCCTGGTGAAAAAAACAAACAAACAAACAAACCCTGAATGAATGTTTTCAATTTTTTATTTGTTGGTACTAGGGATTAAACCCAGGCCTGTCACTGAGTTATACCCTCAGTCCTTTTTTTAAAAAATATATTTATTAATTTATTTGGTTCAGGGTCTCGCTATGCAGCTCAGACTCATAGTGATCCTCCTGTCAGCCTCCCCAGCGCAGGGATTACAGATGTGCACCACCATGCCCTGTTTCAGTGGCCAGCATGGCAT